ATATTATCGCTTATCGCAATAAATTTTGAGACAATTAATCGCCCAGCAAAATTTGTTATCGTGACAGGCCTAGTTGTCAGCTGCTCTGACTTCTGTTTTTAATTAAGCTGACAAAAAAGAAAGAAAGAGTAAAACCTGCGTCTCCATCCTTCACGGCTGTGTTAGTAAGCTGATTTAAGGGCGTGTGGTGGACACTTTGATGTCCCCCTCTTTCCCATGGCTCGGTTTGACAGCTTCGGGATGCAGTGGGCCGCTTCCGCCAGCACCGTGACAAAAGGGGGCAGGGTCAGGGGGCGGGGCGAGAGAGGTGTTTGATGTTTGATAACTGAATACAGCCCTCAGTTTCACCCTCTCTCGGCTCCTTACAACAGAGAGTGGGAACGCAGGGACTAGAGAAGAGGAGGCATGAAGCAGAAACAGCAATAAGCCTATTGGAGAGCGAACCCCTGCCAGCTGAAAGAAAAGGCCCTTCTCTCCCTTATTCTCTGGCTCTTTCTTTCAGCGGCGCTCACACTGGGAACCATCTTGGCTGGACATCATCTTTTTGTCCTGCAGGTTGATGATTGTCACTTATTGCCACAAACTTCAAGCTTGCTGCAATTTTGCAGCTCGTTAACTTTCTACAATAAATGTTTTTTTTTTTTTGTTCCGTGCAGCTCGATGAAAGTGATAAGTTCTAAGAAAAACTGATAAACACGATTCGTTGCATCGGCTTTTAGAACCGTTATCAGCAAGGACAATCTGATTCGCTCATAAAGATTCAAAAGAAATGATGATAAAATGGGTGCAAACGGTTACTTGTATTATTATAGAATGCTTCTTGGGAAAGTCTTGCGAAGAAATATGAAAACAGAGTTGTAACTCAGGTGGCTGATTTCAGAACTTTACAGCCTTAAAGTTTTAACTTGGCAATAAAGAAGGAACAGGGACTAGGATGGAAACTTTTGATTTGATTTGGACGAAAACTTACACAGAAATTTGTGAAAGCTAACTCTTTTTTTTCTTAAGAAGAGCAGAGAGAAGCTCAGAACAGTAACAGGGTGTCAGGAGTGAAAAGTAAAGGAGAGGGGGAGGACTCACAGCTTCCTGAGTTTATCCAATCCAGAGAAGGCCCCATTGGTGTCTTCTATTGTGCCTGAGATGTCGTTATGGTCCAGCTCCCTGTGGAGAAGGGGAGAAAAGAGGGGGATAAGAAAAACGAACAGGGACAGACCATTGCTGAAGAGTTTCAAAGTCCTGGTGGAGGCTGTTCTGGAAGTCCCCCCCCCCCCCCACCCCACACCACCCTCTGCACCTGGCCTTAAGAGCCTATTTGCTGCTCTGCTCTGCCAGTCAAGCACAATCTTCCCTTACAGAGGAGGAGGAGGAGCAAACATGAGGATAATGTAAACACCTGCACAAGGAAAAAAAGTATAGAACTCCTGATGGCACATGAGAGGGGGGATGAACGCTACATCTGAGACTTTTAATGGGGTTTGGGGCCAAGCTTAGCCAAAGGGAACATAGAACAGAATCAACCAGTAGAAAAGAAAAGATTTTTTTAAAGTGCTTTTGGGGGTTTCCAAACCCTCGCTGAATGGATCTGTGTCTTCCTGTGAAACGACTACCTCTGAGGTGAAGTCATAGCCACCGCTCTGCCCTTCTGCTTGGCCAACAAAAAGAAATACAACAGAGTCAGAGGACTCCTCTGAACCTTTAGAAGACCAAACTTGAGAAATGCTTTTGAGGTTGATGGTCAGCTACACCCTCCATCACCGCCTCCCCCTCCTCCCTTGGCTTTGCAAGGATCTTTTATCCCCCTCTGGTTCTTTTCAGCCTCCACTGGCTGCTGTCTGAGTTGGACCCGACTGTGGCTGCCAATTTCCTACTCTTTCTGGCTGGTTGGATGTGAATGGCCACTGCCTTGTTAAAGCAAGGCCAGGGGGGTGGGGGTTGTGGAGCAATGGAGCCCAGCAAAAGAAAAAAAAGGGGGGGCCCTATGAGCCACCGACCCCCATGGCCGAATTAGAGGCCGGCTTTTTTTATTATTTATTTATTTTGTTTGGAGCTTTCACACCCTGATGCAGGCTCCAGCCCCATGCCAGCACAACCAGCAGCTCAGGCCCAATTAAAGCTCTCCCAGCTCACTTTCAGGACCCTGCCTATGGCCGGCCTCCCCTCTACTGATTAGATTAGGCCTGCCTCAAAAGACAGAGAGCAATTTACCAAGAAAATATTTCTTTTAAATCTTGCATAATCAAAACATAACCTGTGTGCTTATTAGGAGATAAAACACTAAACTAAACTTCTCTTGAATAAGCAGAGCAGCACCCAGTGATCCAGCTGAGGAACAGAGGACCCATGTGCCTTGGCTCATCACCCTGCAGTGAGAGAGCTGGTTTCAGGACCTCTGGCACGTCTCTCCTCTCTGGCTGGTTCACCAGGAAGAGGCAGAGCCAAGAGAACCTTGGTGAACAACCAAGACCCCCAAGCCTTTCTGACGGATTTATCCAAAGACGTTCTCTCTCCAGCTCTCTTCTTTTCTTTACTTCTTGTCTTTTTTGTGCAAAAAGGTGGAAGGAAAATAAATTTTTGCCTTTCATTGGCTTTTAAAAGTTAGGAGGAACATCAGTGGAGCCAAACAACATGGAGCACTTTTCCAATCCAAGTTGGTCTGGACACAAAGTCCAACATAAGAGTAAAAGAAAAAAAAAGTAACGATGATAACAGAAAGAGTGAAATCTAAAAACAGACAATACATAAATACAAAGATGTTTTAAATAAAAAACCCTGCCTTGTAAAGTCAACTGAAGGGACTTCATGAGCTGAAATATCAGATGCCACACAGGCACCACAGAAATTAAAGAGCTCAGCTTTCACTGCTCCCCAAAGGCACATCTAAGCCTCATCTTAGCAGGAGCAGAACTTTAATGAGTGGGTGGTTTAGAGGCGGTCATTTGGGGTGGTGTACTTACAGGATGCGTAGGGCCTTGAGACCCCTGAAGGCTCCCTCACTGATATGGCTGATGGAGTTGTGGCCCAGCTGGAGGGTATGGAGATCCCCCAATACTGCCAGGCTTCCTTCATCCAGACGGGTCAGGTTGTTGTAGGACAGATTTCTGAAGACAGCAGGGAAAAAAAATTTAATTAGCAAAACAGCGACAGAGAGAAAACAAAACGGAGACAGAGGAAAGTTCGATGTGACGTCTGGATGGAGACCACAGCTTGCAACATCATTATCCTTCGATTTCATGGCTGATTCAAAATCAGTTTGCAGCTCTGAAATGTCTGTTTCCAATGTGACTTTTCTCTCCACTACAACTTATTAACAGAATGGCTTTAGCAGACATCGACGCTCTTCTGAGATCTGAATCTTTACACATGGAAGAAATATCCTTGGTAGAAACTTTACATGACTATAATCTCAATTTATAAACCTCATTGGGCCTGTGGTAAACTCCAGGGAAACATAATGTCACTCAGACCCCAAATGTTACAATTAATCTGTTCTTTTGTTCCTTACGAACACAGAGGACTAAAGTGAGACGTGAACGCCACAAAAAATACACTTATTTGTAAAGTTACAGGTAAGTAACATCTCAGCTTGATATCTTTCCTGTTTTTATGTAGTAATAAAGTCTATACATTGCTCAAAAGCAGAGTTGTGCATTTTACAGTCCTGTCTGTGTGCTTCTCTAAGTCCAGGCCTCAGGTTTGCCTGACCAGTCATGTGTGCAGAGATGCTCCGCTGATGACCAGCTCAGCCAGGCGCATTGGGAATGCAATAACAGGCTCCTCATAAAGACGAGTCACTCACTGCTATCAGCTGGTCGGGCCATCATAGCCCCAGATAATAAAAGTCACGTAAGCGGTGACTGCCGAGGTGCCAGGCGGCGGATCCGAGAACAGCGCGGGGAGCAATCTGCCTTTCATAAGATGTGCACACAGGAAGCGGCGCAGAGATACGCAGAGCAAACTGGAACGTTGGCCGCCCCCACTCTGTCCCTCCAGACTGGTGCACGTAAACAAGCAGAGGCGCCACAGACGGCTCGGGCTACCCCCGTCGTTAGCAACGCCTGAGCTGAGCAAAGCACTTTAAAGCTGCATTACGACACTCATGTCAATGGCACCGGAGAGAATTTCAGATAATAACTTGGTAGACAATGGCGGTGAAGGTGATCCTGGAGTGTAATTATCACAATACAAACAAGCGGGGATTACAGGACGATTTGCCAAAACCCCACGCTTCAAAACTGAGTAGAAAAACTCTTGTCGAAGGGCTTGTGTGCTGTTGAGCCCGGCTCTAATTATGGGATAAACAGGCTTATCCTGAAAGCAGCACACTGAGTGTTAAAGAAAAATGTCATTCAGCCCTGAAGAATGTAAACGGAGAGTGTGAGGTTCTCAAGGTTTAAGATGGTTTATTTCACTAAATGCTAATGAAAACTGTAAAAAACTAAAACTCTAGTTTACATTTTGAGGAACTTAAACCGCTGTGGTGAACAAGATTATCTGGCACAAGAGGCTGGCTGTTGCATGCTGGTACTCACAGTTCCCTTAATTTATGACAAAACTTCCATCCGTCGGGGTTGATGCGGGCTATCGAGTTGTTACTGAGGAAGAGTTGCGTGAGGGAGCTCAGGCCGTACAGGGAGCCACTGTTCACCTCTGTCAGGTTGTTGTACTCCAGGTGACTGCATGAGAAGAAAACAGCAGGGAGATTTGTTCAGCAACGGTTGCAGGTAATAGGTGCTGCATTTTTGTCCTGAGAACAGTCAGAATGACTGCAAAACCTTATGAGTAATTTAAGCGGTTACACGCATTTTTGTCATTTCTTGATTATATGTGTAAAGGATCTCTGCAGCACCTAAATGATTGTGGCAGAAGAATAAAATATACTCAAAACAAGCCTACATTTCAGCTTCAACAAAAATGTATTTTTATGTCTCAATGAGTTATTTTCGGTACATACAGGACTTTCATCTTAGCCAGGTCCCAGAAGGCTCCATCCGTCAGTTTGCTGATGCTGTTCCTCTGCAGTTTGAGCACCTCCAAACTGGACAAACCCTGGAAGGTCAGACCCTCGATCTGATGGATACGGTTCCTGTTCAGTTCTCTGTAGAGCGAAGAAACAAACGCAAAACCTCTAAGACAGCATGTGGAAGTAGGCCGGTCACAATATCAAATTTTGGTGGGAGATAAATTGTCTCAGAAATTATTGGGAAAAACGATAATATTGTTTGGAGACCATTTAAAACTAATAAGTTCCAAACTGGCCTGGACTGGAGATTGGGAAAACAACACACAACAACAGCTACTGAAGCTGGAACATCTCTATCCAAGCTAGCACAATTTGTTCTTTATAGGGGTGTAACGATACATCGATCTATATCGATATATCAATTTGAATGGTTCATGATTCAGTTATATCGAGGCTAAATGAAAATATCGATCTATATCATCATCATATTCTTGATGGGAATCGATATTATATGTCCATCTAACCCAGTCATTGTGTTAGATGGGCATATGATATCGCATTATATCGATCGCAGACATGAATTGAATTTAATCAAAATCGTATCGTGACAGACTTCGTGATAGAGAAATATCGAATCGTCATCCAAACATATCGATGTAATAATGTATCGTGATAAAGCTGATGATTTACACCTCTAGCTCTTTATGCATCTTTCCTTTGGTTTCATAAAATATTTGTAGTTACCCAAACTCTGCTTACGAAGTTTATGACATTATTATGTAGTGTAAAGAAAACCTCTCTGAGGCATCACCAGCTGAAAGATGGCATCAAAAAAACAAAGATGCTCCTCCAGCTAAATGTTTGTTCAGAGGGCTCTCATAGCGCAGAGGTTAGAGACCACGAGCCTAGAAAATATCTGATGCCAGACTCCACTCCTCGCTACCATGAGTAGAAAAGAGGGAGACACGAAAAAACAAGAAAGCAGACGAATGAAAATGATCATTTCAATTTATCGTGTGATTTTATGATGTATTGCTTGTCGTAACAGGCCTATATACAGTACAACACCTGAAAACTAAGCAGCAGTATCTTTCTTTTCCAGCATTTTCTCAAAGATGTGAAAAGTTAAACCACTTATATCTGCAGCCTGCCCTCTTCCAATAAAAACAGTCCTCTTTAGTGTGTGTTCCTCTGGTCACATTAGTGATAAAACGAGGGATGAGCTGAAAAACATGATATAAGATGCTATAAAACTAAACTTGGTCTCTCTCTGCGTCCAGCGTTGAATTGCACAGCTGCTGAGAGTGTGAAGGCTGTAAAAGCCCTCAGGCTCGCAAAGATAAACATTCATACAGAATCTTTTGTGTCCAACATGCATCACCGCTGGCACTCGGAAGATACAGTGTCACCGGGGCCACCTGTTGAACAAAAGGCACCTGGGGAACCTGCTGGAGCCACAATAAGGGGGGGTGAGACTCCCATTACATGAGCTGCTGTGCTCTCTGAAACGGAGGTGTTGAGCTACAAATGGGTTCGGCCTCGCTGTGATGCTGGAGGGAAGTTTGGCCAAGATAATGGAGCATGCTGTTGGGACTGAACAAACCACTTTGGGGATATGGAGGAAGGCAATAAATCACTAATAATATGAGACGGGTGTTTACCTTGTCAGACCTTATCCACACCAAGAGGTATAGCTCACACTAACAGCGTTCCTAATGTTAAACACACACGGCTCAATCAACAGACACTAAAATCTCCTTCATCCACACTCTGACGTCTTTTTAACACAACTGCGTCTCTACAAACGAGGAAGCCAGTCACTTCTATTTGAACCAGAGCTGTCAAAGATGTGATGTTTCTGTACAGTAAGCCGCTCGGACAGACGGAAACACAACCTTGTCGGCACATTAACTGTGTTTCAAAACTGATGAAAGACAGCGAGACTCACAGCTGCGTGAGCCTCGGAAGCTGGAAGGCTCGGATGGGGATCTGGCTGATGCGGTTTCGGCTCAGTCTCAAAATCTGCAGAGTTGGACCCAGACGATCCAGAGCTCCGAGCTCCAACGCGCTGATCTTGTTGTTACTGAGGTATCTGAACACGGACACATTCAGTTAGGACACAGAAGAATAACAAACCTCAAGTCGTTTTGCGTAGATTTTGGATGAGAAAAACAGAAAATCGTGCTCCGTAGGTACTCACAGGTCTCGAATTTGAAGGCCTGCAGGAAAGCACTGAACTCGAAGCTCGGTGATGTCATTATTGCTCAGGTCCAAGGTTTCCAGAGAAACCAGCTCTCTTATCCTCTGGCCATCGATGCTGCGGATCTTATTATGATGCCTGAAAAACAAAAATCACACCGAGCATTAGGTGTGTGTGGTCGGCAGCTACATTGCTTGTGCACCTCCATGAATCAAGGCAGGGGGACGCAACTCAAATCCTCCTGAGTTCTCTAAGCCCACTCAGTCAGAGAGAGAGCAAAGTACACAGAACAAAGTGGTCTCCATCCACCACAAACTTCCTTTAAGAGCTCCCAAACAGAAGCTGGCCTTTTATAAACAACCCCAAGGTTAAAGAGACGGTCACCAAATGTGTGATGGTATGAACTGATAGTCATGTGTTTCTTTAAAAGCTCTGCCCTCAATCAACAACCCCAGGAAGAGGCAGACACGACTGACAAAATGAACAAAAAATGTAAACAATCTTGAAAAAGTTGCAACTGAGAATGAATACTCATGGGCAGCTGATGTGCCTGAGTGGAGACAGAGAGAGAGGGGATGCTTCCTGTCAAGTTTTCTAAGCAGATCTGAGAAACAACAATTCAACTTTTAGACATTTGGACATGAGGAAACATTTTGGTTTGTCAGAGAAGGTAGGCCGTGCTGTAACAGGGCTTTGAGGGAAGACTGAGCAGACAGTTTTTTTTTTTCAGCACTATTCAGGGGTCTTTTAACAAATGATGGAAGTCAAATCTACTTCTAAACATCTGTACTAGGTTATTTACAGAACCTGTAAATATAAAAGACAAAGGATATACCATGAAGTTATTTGATTAACTATAAATACTGGGGCCCTGTGTTACCTGAGTGCACATGAAAAACTTGACTGGATGACACGAGCGAGTTTTAAATAGGGTTTACACTAGCAAGGTCACTCCCCCTCGTTTCCAGTGTCATCTCTGGGGTCGATTGTTCGGCCCGTCTCTTTCCATTTGATGCCGACGCTCAGGACAAAAGGAGAATTATTTGAAAATCAGATCATCCGTTGGGCCGTTTGATTTTTATCCCGAGCTGTTTTAGAGGCACCCCTTTGATGTGGACCGGGCAGGCGATGAGTACAATGGGAAAGTTTGTGCTGCTCTGCTGTCACTTTGACACTGTGTTTTTTTTTTGTAAAGTTTTTGTTGCTTCTCTCTCTTATTTATGCCATCCTGCTCTGGCATTCTGGGATGGGCCTCAGTGCCAAACACACTGTGTGACTGTGAGAGCCGTTACATATGGCGTTTAAATGGTTCCTTTTTAGCTGTCTTTTAGGAAAGTTGATTTTTTTTCTTGTTTATAAAAGTGATCTAGGTTTGACTTACAGTCATTTAGATAGAAGTATGTGTTTTTTGCTATCTCTAATAGCAGCAGCAGCAAGCTGTAGCACTTCCTGCAGAATTGTCATCATATTTCTGCCAGAAAAACTTAAGGGAAATTGTGAAACTGAATTTGGGTTCCTACAGTTTAAAGCAAGTTAATTTTAATACTTTTTAATGCCAAGTGAAATTAAATTTAAGACCAATTTCACAATAAACACAAATGACAAAAAAATTTAAACTGGCAGGAACTCATGAATCAAAGTATTTTTGGTTGAAGTATTTAAATATTGCTAATAGACCAATTGTTTTTATCCATATCTAACTTTAGCAGAAACATTCTTAGCAGTTTTAAACTTAATTTAATTTCTGGAAATCCTCTAACGACCCAACATTTGGAGTTTTAGGACCCACAGTGGGGTCTCAACCCCAATTAGCTGTAGATGAAACCTTAAAGGTGCCTGTGACATCAATTTTTTTGTAAGAAAAGTGAATGCATTTTTGGAAAACATTAACATATTACAAAATGAATTTCACACTGCTCAGATGAACAGTTGTTGAGATGTTTGCATGTGAAATAACAGGAAGTGATATAAAAGGGGCATGTCTGCATGTGAATATTAAAAAAATAATAATATTTACCCATTATTTTAATATTTGAGACGAATTACAATCATCCTATGTACAATGTGTTAACATTTTTAAGACTTCTGAAAGATTGATTTAAAACATTTTAAGGCTAATTAAGGTCTTATTTTTGGATTGATGAATTAAATGCCCTTTAAGACTTTTTAAGGATCTGCAGGAACCCTGTGGATTCTTTTTAACACGACAGGATCTACAACAACCAGGCTTTTACTTAGGTTTTTAGAGGAGTGCATTGACACTTCAACCTTTCTTATAGGTTATATTTTTATTTGTATTTAGGGATGCTTAGGTCGACATAACAGCTGCTGATGAAAGTCTCCAAAACAAGGAGGAAGACCAGAGATGATCGATCCTTTGGGGCAGCTGCCCTCAGGCTCTGAACAGTCTGCCATGGCACATGACAGATATATAGTTTTATTTTGACTTTTTATCTGTTTAGGACTTTGGGGCCATCAGCAGCTTCCATTGTGTATCTGTACATTTCAAACACATCGCTGAAGCAAAACAAGAATTCCTCTTTAAAAGGTTCGAGTAAACAGAAACTAACCAGCTAATACACAGAAACCCTCAGAGGTAGTCTGACTTTCAGACAGTTGCACCTACGTATGAGCTGCTCTCAGTCTGAAGAGTCTTCTGTTTGATGAACGGCTGAAGGAAGAACTTTGTGTCCATTTGGTTGTGTGTGTGTTAGCCGCTGTCTCTCACAAACTTGTTGTCAGACGACATTCCAGACGATCTCCAACCAATGGAATGGGGACAGTAATGCCTCTGCCAGTGCACACACTGTGCTCCCTCCTACAGGCTGGCAACTTAGACAGTTTGCACCGGATTCACTTTTAACCCTGAGTTTATTTCTTACAAACATTTTTTTCTTCTTCTTTTGACTCCCTGTACCCTCCTACCACACGCTCCTTCCTTTGGCTACTTCCTCTTAATCTGGCTTCTTTTGGCAAGTAGTGATGTCACCCTGATCTGACACAGTTCAAATCTTTTATCCCAGACTCCCTCACTGTTTTCTCATCTTGTCTCCCCCGGCTCACCATTACTCGTTTTACTGTAAGCCATGTGACTGACAGCTGCAGCTGCAAGTGCTTCAGCCGGCCCTTCACTTCAGCTGCGTAGCTTTGTAAAAATCCGACCCTCCCTCCGGCCTCCGCTCCCATCAGGACTAGAAGCTTTCCTCCCTAGCAACAGGCTTCAAGTCAGGCCAAAAAAAGACAGCCCGATCATTTGGAGGGCCTTCCACTTTCCACAGTCCGTGAAGTAAAGATTAACTTGCTCCTGTCTGTTTTGAAGCGAACGCCAAGCAATAAACAACAACACCCATACAAATCAAATCAAAAATAAGATGTGCTTCAACAGAGATAAGACAGTTGCTTCATCAGACACAAACTGCCCTCTTCCTGCTGACTCTGTACAGCTTACAGAAATATTCTGACCACATTAGTGCATCATGATGAATTCTGAGAAGCAGGCAGATGACACACCGGGGAGAGGCGAGCGTGTGACTCCCACAAAGCTCGCCGCTGAAAATGATATGACGATGAGCAAACGTGACATGAAGCGGCAGCTGTACACTTTACTACCAGGCGGGCAGTCAGCATACTATAGCAAGGTGTGAAAGAAAAGCCGGTGTACAGCTAATGGTTAGAACCAGACTAACCTTACTGAGTTTAACTATTTAGATTCCCTTCGAGTGAAAATATTCACTGGTCACATGAAATGCTCAAAGACAAAAGTCCAATCTTTACTGCCCTTTTTTATGGCATTTGTCACCTTTGCCACAAAGTTTTTATAGCATTTTGGTTTATACATAGCTTATTTTGCCCAAAACCATTTCAGTGCCTGTGATCATATTGAAGACTTAGAAAGGTTAAACACAATAATGTACTTTCATTTACCTTTTGTTACATTTACAGTTGGACTAAACTGTAAATAGTTCCTTCATTTTGCATGCAAATATAGCTTCAATCTGCAAAACTGAAGTTATCACGTCATATCGCCTTTTTCCCCCTTTCAACTAACAAGAAGAAAAGGAAAATCAGCCTGCTGATGGATTGCTGAGCTCACATTTGTGACATACACAAGCGCACACACGCCCTTCCCAAATACGGCAGTAAATCTCCAGTGAGATGCCAGTGCAGGCAGTCCCCACAGGCACGGTTTCACAACTGGGAGAAACCAAGTTGAAACTATATACGAGCTGACACTCCAAACAGGCAGCACCACTCACTGTAGACAGGACCACATAGCCAGCTAATGAGACTCGTCGGTTCCTCAAGCATTAGCTAATCGCTCAAGACAGAACTCCATACTGACACTGAAGTAGCTCAAAAGGAAAATAAAAGGATTTTTGATCTAGTTTAGTGCAGCAAGGTCACATTCACCGCTTATCTCACATCAAGTCTGTGTTTCTTCTGACTTGTAGAGGCATCCTCTGTGGATTTCAAAAGACTATTTAAAGAGCAATTCAAAAAGGCAGCTGGCCTTAAAAAAAGCAAAAGAAAATATGGTATTTCTGTTTTAATAATGGCGAAGAAGTACTCACAAGTAGAGGGATACAATTTTGGAAGCCCGTCCTAAATCAGGTATGGAGGTCAGCTCATTGTGATCCAAGCGCCTGGAAGTGACAAACAGCAGGTCAGAGAACAAAACGTGCCTCGCATAAAACCAGAAACAAACACAAAGATAACAAGTCCCTTTCAGATTTATAAATAAAACACAGTACGAAAAGGAACTGTAAATTAAGATCTGAATATAGAAAGGTATTAAAGCTTATAATCTTCTTGTCACCACAATTAAGTTCAACCGTTTCAGTTCGCTCCGTCACAGGAATCTGAATTCAATCCACGCATAAATCAAAGCATTTCAAATACAACTTGTCACGTCTGCCGCAGAGCAAGTGGCAAGTCATCTTTGTAAAAACCAAAAATAACACGTGAGTAAAACAGATGTCCAGGAGCGTATGACTGCTGGGCCTGCCAAAGATGTCACCAGTGTGTGTGTTATCCGTTTGCCTATGCATGTGTGTGTATGTGTGTGTGTGTGTGTGTGTGTGTGTGTGTGTGTGTGTGTGTGTGTGTTTGCTGTGTGTGTCTGTGTGTGTCTGTGT